TAAATATATACCATAACTTGTTATTTATGTTTAAACTTCAAAATGAACTAATTCCAAAATATTTTTATAAAGGTTTCTCTCTAATTAACCATAAATATGAAACAAGACACTCAATAAATAATTACTACATCCCACCAACATCACTCAAAAAATCTGACTTCTCAATTACATGTCGGGGGCCACGCTTGTGGAAGTCAGTTCTTGACGAAAATATGAAAAAAATAAAATCTATTGATATATTCAAAAGAACTATAAAAAAACACTTACTAAACTCAAACATTACATACATTCTTTCATTTTTTTAAAAATAATATTTTTTTGATAAATTTGATAAAAAGCTTTTTTTTTTTTTTTTTTTTTTTTTTTTTTTTTTTTTTTTATATATATATATATACATATATATCTTTCTTGTTTGATTTTCTCTTTGACTGTTTTTTTTTTTAACTTTTTTTAATAAATACTAACAAATGAATTTAAATCTACATAACGTTTGGAATCTTTTTAATATATAAATATTTTTGAATATATACTTCGCTTTGTATTGAATATGTATACGTATATGTACTGATTTGTAAAAAAAAATTCAAACTTTTTAATTTACGCATTGTATACATTTTTATTTTTTTATTTCGAGATTTTATTATTATTATTATTATTTTTTTTTTTTCTTTCTAACTTTTACTTTTTTTAATTTTTAATTTATTTTAAACTTTTTAATTTTTTTTCAATCTTTTTACTTTATTTCAAACTCTTTAAATTTTTTTATTTTTTTTTTTTTTTTTTTTTTTTTTTTTTTTTTTTTTTTATTTTTATTTTAATTTTGTTTGAATGTTTGTTTATTTTTTTCAAAATTTTTAATTTAACTCTTTTTTATATTATTGGAATTTTAGAAATTTTATATTTCTCTATTTCATAAAAGGGCTTGATGATAAGACTTTATGTCTTCTACTTGCCCCTGTCAGCTTGTAATTATATATATATTTATTCGAATTTAAAGATAACATTGTAAAATGTGTAAAACGACAAAATAAACTAACTATAAATATAAATCAGTCTGCGCTGCTTTTTTAGCTACATTATTAAGATGTGGTGATTTTAATCTAAGATTCAATTCTTCACACGTGCAACAAGTATCAACTTGTGGGCGCCCAAACCATAAATTAAAATTAGTTTTAAAATGATTCCAGTAAAAAGACTTGCTCACTTTTAAATCTGGATTTTTTTCACAAAAAAGTTGCCACATTGTTTTTACATTTAAACTTGCATTGAGGTAATATACTTTTTTCCCTGAGTAATGTGATTCCTTGAGTGGAAATGATCTTATGTGATTACTAACAATGTCATGAACATTCTGAGAAAGACAATTAGTAATACCTCTACCTCTTTTATCTTGAGGGTTTATTCCAATAACCTTAAGGTTCCTTATTCTCCATAATCGTTTTTCACTAATACTTAAGACAGATAAAAGTGCACTGCAACATATCTCTATGCGTACATTGCCTACAATCACATGATAGGAGAAGCTATTTGGCTACTTCGGTTTTTCAAGATCCTTTTGATGTGGCACTCTCCTTTTAACTTTAGTGACATCTATTAATCCTTGAATATAAAAATCTTAATTTTCTTTGCTTTTTATATCATAAACTTTGGAAAAGATATCCACACAGTTAGCCTCTCCAAAGTTCTCCAAACACTTTTATTTGCACCTTAAAAAAGTAATGAGAAAAACTAATGTAAAATTAATGCAAGCTAGAAAACGTTTTTATTAAAATACACAGCATTATTTATAATCTTAAACAGAGAACATTGCCACAAAAGTTGTGGGGAAATAGACCAAATCATATTAAAAGTTTTTGACTTTTTAGTGCTTCCACCTATGTTATAATCTCAATTACTATATAGGTCTATGCTTACTATAACAAGATTTAACTGTTCAGTGTATATTAACTATCTGAAAAAAATGATAAAACTTAGCCAACCGCATATTAAACTACTATGCAAGAAAGGTTTAATATGTAATATCTGTAAATTATTTACTTATGTAACAGATATACCCATAATCTAAGTACTATAGCTGGTTTAGACTTAGGGTTAGGTTTTAGGGTTAAAATATTTTGAAGTATGATATTTCATAAATTTTAAACATATAAACATATAATATATCTAAATTATTTTAAACTCATACTTTCATGAAATAAGATTAATGTTTCAAAGTTTTATAGTATAGTGTTTTTTATAATTTTAGTATAATTTCATGTTAACATAAGACTTATGTAAACATTAAATTTATGATAAGTTGAAAATGATTTAAATATACTATATGTAAATGTATATATATATATAAATATATATATATATATATATATATATATATATATATATATATATATATATATATATATATATACATATATATATATATATATATATATATATATATATATATATATATATATATATGCATATATTGGATGTTTGAAACTTACCTGCAAGTAAACATAGGGTACTTTGGTGGAACTTCATTTACCTTATGATTTATGTATGACTGTCCCATTAAACGTGCTTGTTTTATTTTGTTATGTTTGTACTCACAAGGATAACTTTCTTTCCTTTTTCTAGGACTTGGAATAACAAGGTCCATTAAAAATCTTATAATAGCAACAACAACATACGAAAAACTATTTACATTTTCTGGGTATTGCGCCTAAATATACAAATCAGCTGAGAGCGATTTTTTTAAAAAGGGCGTATTTGAAGCAAATTCGCCTTTTTAAAAAAAATCGAAAACTTTTAGGTGGCTTTATTTGAGTAAGATGATAAAATTTAAACATATTTTTAACATAAACTAATGAAGCTATCATAGAAGAACACAAAACACATAAAAAGTGAATTTCTAAAAAAACGTCAAATCAGCCCTTTTAAAAAACACTGATTCATATATATCAGGCTTGGTTGGGAAGCGGGTGCGATCGCACTCGATAATTGACCACGGAAATTATATTTACTTGCAAAAAGCCGGCCAGATTTTTCAGGCGTTTTGAGAACGCTTAAGTTTATGAATGTTTCCTTGTTTGTCCGCAAAATAATAAATTTATTATTTTTATCGTAAATTTTAAAATATTTTGTTTTACGGACGTATATGGAAACTTATATGAACTTGAATGTTGTCAAACATCTTAGTGCGGAAAAATAAATAAAGAATATTCGCGAACACAAAAAACCCGCCAAATTTACGAACAAATAATTCTATTGGTTCAATTAATAAATAACTGAAATTACTAAAGAATTCTAGCGAATGTTCTAGAGTATTCTGTTGAATTATTTTTCAAAATCGTATAATTTGAGTTTTGTTATGTTTTCGTTGAGATTTCTAGCATCAATTGCTTTAAGAATATACCATCAAGCGAACAATTATTTTAATACAGTGGCTCATTTTCGGAGTCACATCTACAAAGCTATAAATGGTTTAAACTAACATTTGTTTACAAAATTAAATGTTTTAAATTTATATTTTTAAACTTGTCAACGTTTTGTAAATATATTATAGATTTAACTAGTATAATCTCATTTTTTATATATAAGGGATGTATTTATATGTATGTAATGTATTAGAAATTGGTTTATTAACCTCAACTATTTTTGCTTCAGCCATTCTTACAAACTCGTTATACTTACACTTAAAGTTACTTTTTTCTGTAAAATACTAGTAAAAGATATAAAGCCCACTCACTAAACATCATCAGCGATATTGTTAAGCAGTTCCGCTTCCTCCTTACAAAGTAATTTAACGTTTTTAGTTAATTTCTATCTAGCTAATTAAATTTCCACAGTAACTCAATGATTTAGTTATTTCATTTGTTTATCTTACTAAGAAGAATTGTTTCAAATATGTTAAACTTTTCAAACTAAGAGAAGCATAAAACAGGTACTGAAAAAACTTTTTTTATTTATAATTGAATGCTATAATTATGTAGCGTTAGTTTAATTGGTTTAATTTTGTTGGACTTTACAGGGCCGGGGGCTGCATTATTTTGGTGGCCTTTTTTATGTGCGACAGCGTAAAAATGACTTAAAAATACCGATAGGTCCTCTTGACTATTTCTCGGCCCATAACATTGTGTGTTCCGGGACTATAGCTCTTCTACCCCCCCTCCCCCACCTCTCATATCCAGCACTGGAAATAAGTCATAAGTATATAAATAAAAATTATATATAATCTTTGATAAATTGAAGAACATTTGCTTCTTTATTAAACAATCATTATTAGTACGTTGTTACTATATACAAAAAATGTCGCTTTTTTTTTTAAAAAAAAATTATAAAAAAGCGACGTTTCAAAAATATTTGCTCTAATCGTATTTATTTTGCTTAAAGTTAGTAGTAAAAACAAATTTTTATATGGAAAAAAAGTTGAAGCATTGACCAGAAAAATATCATACATAAAGAACATATTTATCTGAAGTTTAAAAAAATAATTATTGAAATCCTACGGTCAGATTTTTAGAAAAATGATTTCAAATAAATAAATAAATCTATGATTAACACTAAAAAGGTATTAAATAAAAATAAAGTTTAAACGCGCAAAGATTTTTGTTACCTCTATTTATTTATTTTTTTGTGAAGTTTTTGTATTTTTATATTGATTTACGTTAAGCATAAGGCTACATCATTGGCTTTTCAGAAATTAATTAACAAATAATCTGTTGCCATATAAAATATTCTCTGTAGTTACACTAATCGACATATATTGCGGTTTATTACAACATATTGCAATATTATTGCGCGTTCAATTTAAATTGCTATATATTGCTCAATTAATTGTCCAATAAAATATCAATAAAATTATACAAATGTAATGTGTTTGTAAATGTAATTTAGATGCATTTAAATATAAATAATTCTGATGCTTATCTAATTGCCTGTGTCATTTTTTTGTTTTACATAAATTTAATGGGTTTATAAGCAGTAGCAAGATTGTTGTTAAAATATTACAATATAATTGCAATATAATTGCAATATAATTGTAATATTATTGCAATATTATTGCAACTAATATTAGGTAATCGATTTTATGATTGTAACTGAAGTTACAAGCATGCTTTCATTGGACTTTATACTGCAGTGTAAGTGCGGCCAGGCAGGTTTCTTCGGCGCACGTTAGACATGGCTTGCATGAGCCCAGCAAACCTGTCTGGCCACACAAGATACCCGTGCAAAAATAACATAGTTATTTATAAGTAAAGACTCATAAAATTTTATTAATGGTGAATATATGTGCAATGAAACGAAATTTTTTTAATAGAAAGTACGAGAGAAGAACTTTACATTTTACGGCTGAGTCTACTTCTTCTGAAGAGGAAATTACTAATAGTAGTTCTCAGTCCGACTGTAGCAATACAGATGATAATGTTAATGATGGTAGTTTTACCCAAGAGACAGAAGAAATTGTATCTATAGTATCTGAGGAAGAAAATCAAATTCTAGTATCTGAGGAAGAATCGAGTGCTTCCATCTTTCAGTTCTTTAGTTCTAATCCATTTGAATGTTCTTTATTGGACTCAATTGTTAACAAAAAGTTTATGTTTTTAACCTTGTTGTATTTAATGATTAGCAATTCATTTACTGAAATCGCATTTGATAGATTTTTGAAGACTTTGCTGGTATGTTAGATGTAGTTTAAATTGTGCAATGTACTTGTAAATGAATATTGTGAAGCTAATAAAATTATCAATCAACTTAGTCCTTAGCAATAAATGTTGCTCTGGCTATTTATCTCTGGCTGCTACCAGAAATGGTGCACATTGCCAATAATTCGTAAAAAAAGTCTGATAAAGTAATGCAGAACGTTCCTAATTATAAAACATTTTACTTGTGAAAATTTTATCCGACTTTTTTTACAAATTATATATTATATAATATTTTACAATTATATATTATATATTTTATATCTATAGTTTTTACAAATTATTTTTTTTACAAATTATTAAATTATAAAAATAATGAAGTATGTCATATTTTTATTTCAACTTGAGGCTGGGGTCTGGCCCAGGCTTAGTTTGGTTGATAAAGCTTGAAAAAATATATTTTTAATTTTTAAATTTTTTTAATAGATTTTTCGCTGTATAAATGACATGCCGTCATCTCATAAAATGATTCGTAGATTTGTTACTAAAAATATATTCTCCCATACTGAACCAACGCATAAATATTATTGCCATAATTGCTGCACAGCTTTAGTTGACACGTGTAAAATAAATACTCATTGTTCATCCCATATCTTTATATTGGATATCATTAGCCAAATGAAACTTGTTTTATTTCTGAATTTGGATGCAATTAAATCATATCAATTGGAAATTATGTCAGGTAAAAGAAAGAGTGATTTTATTTCTAGACCAAATTTTGTTGAAAATATGAAGTCTGCAAATGTTTTACATATTCATTTATTGATGTCAACAGATGGTGGAGAACCATACACAAAAAAAAAGATTACAATGTGGCCATTTCATGCTATTATTTTAGATTTACCATCTTATAAACGATTCCTATTTGAAAATACACTACTTCTTGGTTTATGGTTCTCATTATTAAAACCTAATTGGAATGCTTATTTAAAAGTAATTAAATTATTGATTGTTATTTTTTATTTTAAAAGTAGTTGTCAATGGAATTACCTATAGTAGTAGAATTCACTGTTCCAGCCGTGACAAGAATAAATTGGGCAACGTTACTATATTACTAACTTTTTTTTAGGAGTACATCAATGGAAAACTGTTTGAAACACCCCTTGAAATTAACAATATCCAAGTATTTATTCATATTGTTGGTTTTGTTTTCGATTTGCCTGCAGTGGCTTCAATCATCAATCATAAGCAGTATAATGGTGAATTTGGATGTCACTATTGCGAACATCCTGATAGAACAATTGAAAGAAAACATGGTTCCGCTAGAATTTATTCACATTCAGATACAAATTATAATCTTAAAACATCTGAAATGTATGCCATATATGCTAGATTAGCCGAAAAATCAAAAGTATCTGTATTTGGAATTAAAGACTCAAACATCTTTAGTGACATTTCATTTATTAAAGTGCCAGATATGATACTTAATGATGTGTTACATTTGTTTTACGAAAATTGCTCAAAAAAGCTTTTAGTTTGTTTATTTTCTGTTACCAATAAACACGAATCATTTTTTATTGGTAGTGCAAAATTAAATGCTATGGAAATCTTACTTGCTGATTAAAAAATGCCACATAACATGCCCAAGCCATTAACTATTAAATCATTCACACATTGGAAAGGCCATGACTTTAAAAACTTTATTTTATACTTAGCAGTTCCATATTTTTTACCATATTTGAATCCTGACTGCATGATGATGATTTATTCTCTAGTAATTGGTATGCGTTTGTGTAGCAGTGAAATATGTTTAGATAAGGTGTTGCTTATTAGTCAGCTGTTTAACTTTTATCAAAAATCATTGTCTGAGTTGCTTCCTTTATATATGAATACTATAAATGTTCATTTGCTTGGTCATGTTAGCGATATTATTAAAATGCATGGAAGTGTTACAAATTACTCAATGTTTTGTTTTGAAGCTCGGCTAAGTAATTATAAAAAAATGATGAAGGGAACACATGGTCATCCACAACAGATTGTACAAAAATTTCTTGACTTCAAAACAGCTTCTTGTTTTTTGCAAACAACAGATCATCCTAAAAAAGTTGAAGTTTGTAAAGCATTAAATATTGGCATTATTGAACAAGAAGAATTGCAGTTGTTAAATCCGGGCAGATTGTTGAAACATGGTACTGTTTACCATTCAAAAGGTTATGGCAAACATAACAGCTACACTTGTCAATTTGGACATAATAAGTTTGGTATCATATTAGATTTTCCTTTAGTTGACAATGTAATACATGTTCAGTTACAACTATTGAATGTGAAGTGTAAGTTAGTTTCTACTTTTGGTGATATGATTGGAATTTTGGAAATTAACTTTGATGATGACTTTTTTTTTATTGTTGAACAAACAAAAAACATTGTTGTTATTTCAGCTGACACTTTAGTCTGCAAGTGTATATTAATTAAAAGTAAATTAGATACAAAAGATGTATTAATTTTGACACCATTGAAAGAACTTTTCCAATATGCTTAGGGTGGCTAAATGTAAATTTTGTAATTAATAAATATGCTTCACATCATGCATGTGTGTTTTTTTATACTAACAAACATTTTTGTTTTTAATATTTTGATAATTTGATTTAAAATAATTTGATAATTTGATTGAATTTTTTTACAGGTTTATATTTTATTAAATAATGACTTACCCTGATAGAAATAGAACAAAGAAATTAGATTTTGTAGACACTCAAAAGCTTTCTTCTACGTTTGTTCTTTTATGGTACAAGGATTGTGAAAAAGATGAGCGGCATACCTCTCCCATATCACTTTCAAATACACTTTTTAAGCATTATTCATCCGTTGAATGCCTTGAATTTCAAGTGGTAAGTGTGTTAAAAAAAACTGACAGCATTTACCATACATAATATAATTAAAGTCCACCCTTAAATTTTATCCCCCCTCCCTATAATTGACAAAGAAGATAAATTTTGTTTTGTTTTTTTACATACCAGCTATTAGCTGAATATATCAGCTATCAGCTATTAGCTGAATATATAGAAGCCCACCTTAAAATAGAAGCAAGTATTTTAGATGCCCACGAATAAGATAAAAATGTTTTTTTTGTTTTTTTACATAGCTGAATATATAGAAGCCCACCCTAAAATGGAAGAAGTATTTTAGATGCCCACTTTTTAGGGATGTTGAAAAATGGAAGCCCCTGCTTTTATTATACTATTTATGGTGTGTTGATAATTAAATTTAATGTTTTTTACTTATTAGAAAAATGTAGTGCATGTTTCTATTGCAAATATACAACACGCAGCTGTCATCATCTATAAGGGGTCTATTACCCAATGCTGTAAATTTGAAACATTGCTAGATAACTTCATGGACGATTTTGGTGATGAAAATCCTAGCACTGATGAAGTAAGCAAGTTTGCCCTCAATTATATTGAAGGCAATACTGACGGAAAAAGAAAACATTCTGATGGAGACCAATCCTCAGGTAACTTATGTAATATAAATATGTGACAATGACAAGACAATATTATAGTAATTTTATTTAAAATTTACTCTTCTGTGTAGTGGTGAACTGGACCATGGTGCCGGAGTGCAATAGCACCCTGGGTCAAAAAAAAGGAGGTTACCTTTGTTACCAGACAGAGTTTAGTTATTATGTCTGCTACACAAGTAATAATTAATTAAACATTTTTGCTAAATAATAAAAAATGACACAAAATTCACACAAAAATTATCAACACAAGTTAAAGTTGCACTATCCGATGGTAGGTGGGGATCTATTGGATCCACTAGTAGCCTAGCCCCTAGTACACCCATGATTATATGTTTGTAACCACAACTTGTTCATGTTTTTTTTATAGATTCAGAGAATATTGCACCGGTCTCAGAACATACAGGCCTAAACGGACCTAAATATAAATCGACTCCTAAATCAAAGGTGCTGAAAAAAAAACATGTAAATGAAGTGTTGAATGAAAATTCAGGCAATTTTAATAATATTACAATTTTGTTTATGTAATTTCTTGAACATATTTTTATTGTCTTTTTCATTTATAGAATCAGAGTCTTTTGCATCATTTTATAACAGTCAAAAACGATCTAAAAAAAGTGAAGCACAGATTATGGCTTTGGAAAAGCGGAAGCTTGACATGCTACTTGACAATGTTGATGCTCCCAGAGCATTGATGCTTCCAATAATTAGTGATGTTCCTAAAACAAAACACTGTGGTGCACCGAAGTTAAGCAAACTATCTTGTTTAGAAGGTTAGTTACAGTCCTATAGTATGAATACTGTGTTTGCCTATGTTCTACCATATTGTACTTGTACATAGAAGTGCTATATATTTTTTTTAACATTAGCAATTTTGATTGAACAAAAGAAACTTCTTTTTGAACAAAAGAAGACCAACAAACTGTTGTCTGAAATTTTGCGCCCAATAGAAAAAGAATCTGTAAATAATGATAATGTAAGTCAATTTAATTTTTGTAATTTAATTAAAAAAAGCTCATCCAATGAGAGCACAACTTGCTAGTATTTACCAAATTGAATAAATATTGATTGCTAAAGGAAAGGTACATTTATATACAAAAGGTTGCATAATTTGACCATCCATTGAAAAATGTTTACTAAATCCGAACTTATCTGTATTATACTTTTTAGGCCGTGTATACTGGTTTTGATGCCGAATTTAAATTGCACGACATTCAAAAACGAGAACCATGTAGCTTTGCAAGAAAATTTATTTTGTTGCGATTCGGAAAGGAGTTTACTTGCACGCATATTTGTGAACCAAACGGACCTACTGCACGCATTCATATGGAGAATGAAGAAATTCAGGAAGTTAAAGGTGCACTTGACAAAGTGTTTACGTCTTACAACTGGCGTGTTGTTCGGGCGAGTATTAATCAATTTTTCCGAGACAATAAAAGTAGTACAAAAGTTTGAAGACTAAACAAATGAGTGACATTTTTCTTGTGGTGTGGGGTTGTCAGCGTTTTTCGCTTATCCCCCCCCCCCCCCATTCTATCTGTAATGTGTTTTGTATGTTTTGTGTGTTAAATAAATACACCATCTTATTTTATTCTAAATTTAGTTGTTTATTTAATTTTTAAAATTCGAATTTAGTATGAATTGAAAGTGTACATAAATGTTTCTTTCAAATGTCAACTTTCAGCGCTGCTGCTAGACGATAATAAAATTGCAAAGAGTTTTATTGTCAATATTGCGAGATTATTGCCCAATATAATTGCAATTTTATTGCGAGATTGTTGCCCAAGATATTGGCCAATATTATTACAATTTTATTGTCAATATTGCAATATTATTGCCCAATATATTGCCAATCCATTGCAAGTTATTGGCAATATTGGCCAATAAAATTGCAATATTATTGCAATTAAAAAAATATATATATTGATTAGTGTAAGTACCGTAGCCATTTTAAAAGGGTAGAAACATGATTCCATAGCGTAAAGTTAGGTGACGCAGTGTTTATTTTTTGGCGAATAATTAATTATTTAAGATGCGAAAAGCATAGTTAAATTATTTGTTTTATGCGGCGTCCTATGATTCAACCGAATCTCTAATTTCAATTTAGAACCGAATATGAGAAATTTATTACACAACCGAAAATATTTACGAAAAAAATTAGAACCGAAAAAATTTCAATCGAATTTTCGATCGAAAGTCATTAATGGTTTTAGAACCGAATTTCATTAAAATGGTTTACAACCGAAAGTTACACTTAATTAATTACAATTAAGTGAGCGTTTTTAGAAAACAATGAGGGAAAACGAAGAATAATGAATGAAAAGGTTGCTGACCCATACCAAATCCTCAGTCGATGTAGCAGCACTCCACTGCGAGTCAGGCTATTTGTCAGTCGATGTATGTACTGAAGCTCCCAGCACCAGGCTATTTGACGTTAGGTGAGTATGACATCATCATGCTCACCTAACTCAGCAGTATAAGATATATGTATATATATTTTAAAGAAATTTCAATTGTTTATTTTATTGTAAAACGACTAACTGAAAAAAAAAAAAAAATAGATTGAATAAAGAAAGGATTTTGTAATTCGATTCAAATTTTTTCGGTTGTAAAATTCGGTTTAAAAACTTTCAGCACAAGAAAGGATTTTGTAATTTGATCCTGCAATGAAAGTATACTTTTCGGTTCTAAAATTTTCGGTTGTGAAATATTTCGGTGATATTTTCAAGGATAAATATTTTCGGCTCTATCATGTGACATGGTTTTAAATGTGAATATTTAATTATTTGTCATGCGTGGTAAAATGTTTTTATCAAATAGAAACTCAATACAAAATTTGTGAAATATGATTTTATACTATAATAGAAATGTGTTTATACAATTTATATTTAAACCATGATATTAGAATAAAATTTGTGATCATAATATCAAAGTGAATTGCGATTGTTAAGATATTTTGATAATAAAGAAAACTGAATCATAACATGTTTGCTATAGTTAGTTTGTTCATTAATCATTTTGTAAGGATGGCTAAGGATATATTTCTAAAACCAAAATTTTGAGTGTAACATGCATAAAATATCTGGTAAAGTTATAACAAGCACATTCTTGAGTTTTATCTTTATTTTGTTAACTTAGTGTTTCTACTATGATAAAAAACTTTATGCAAACAACAACAACAAATAACAGCAACAGAAGCAACAACAAAATATTTATTTACTCAAAATTTACTATCATATAATTACAATAATATAATAACAGTAACAATAATAAAAATAATAACAATAAAAATACCTATAATATTATAAACAGTAAAATCATAATATCATTATATTATCCAAGTTTATACAATTGTAATTGCTATCTACAAAGCTATGGTGATGGTTTATATTTTAGCTTATTTCAACCTATTATAAATCAACCTATTATACACAGGGTATATACAAATGAAAATACCATAGTGAATTCTAAAAAGTATTGAATTCTGAAAATTGGTGAATTCTGGTGTATTTTTGCAGAACGTTTTTTTTCAAAAAGTATAAAAGTTTTTGTGTGCAAGAAAAGAAAACTAAAGATTTTCAAATTAAAGAAAAATATGCATCATGTTTTCGATAATATTTTTGTATATCTTTTTACGTAACATGGTTTGATCAATTTTGACAATGTTCCCCATCTAAATTGGCAGGAAAAAAGTTTATAAAAAGTATACAGTTTTATAGTTAACAAATCTACTTTTAACGAAGCTAAAAATAAAAAGTTTGAAAATAGCGTAATATAAATATATTTACGTTCTGTTGATGTTCATTTTCTATAAACAAGTATATGAATTCGGAAATGGAAATTTAGTTCCACAACGCCAATAGCAATTGTGATAAAGTAATTTAAGATCATTTAAAGTTCAGTCAAGCAAGCACCTGATAATGGTCAACTTTTTGTTTAATATAGATTGCTGTTCCGAATACAAGTTGCAGATATGATCCCCCAGCAGGCACAATGACGTTGAAATAACGTTGAAACAACGTCGCAAACAGACCATGTGCTACGTTGAAAAAACGTTGAAATTTGGTTGAATTGGAAATAAAATCCGACGTCGAAAACTGCGACGTTGAACCAACGTCGATGATTACGTTGTTTTAACGTTGATCTAACGTTTTATCGACTACATATCAACCATATTTCAACTTTGAATAGTATTTTGATATATTTAATTGATTTTGATATATTTAATTGATACTTAGTTAATAAGACGTTAGAACAACGTTGAAACAACGTAAATTCAACGTTGATTTTTGTTTTTTATTTTAGTTAAATCAAATTAACTAAAAAAACTCAACTTTAATTGCAATAAAATACCACAATAAAAAAGCAATAATTTGCGCGAAGAATATTATATTTCACGTAAATTAATCAGATACAACTAAAATGCTTCAAGGGACTTTATATACAATGCAAATAAAGTAAAATGTTTGAAAAAAAAAAGTTTTATTTATCTGTAATATATTTATCAATTTATCAATAATAACTATTATCAATAGTTCCAGAACAACTAGGAAGACGTATGAATGTTATACATCGGGTGAATCGCCTTTTACGCGCCGACCACCACCATTTAATCTGTCGAGTGCGTATATTAATAAAGTCATTATTCCTTTTCTTATTTCGGCAACTGTAGCAGTCACTTTAATTGACAAAACTCTCTCTATAAAAAAGGTATTGCCTAAGTAATTTGCATCAAATACATCAAAAAGTTAAAAATAAAATAGCATTAAAAAAACGAACTGTGATTTTTAAAAAAAATATAATTTTACACTTAACTTACAAGTAATTACCTAATGTTTGTTCCTTTAAACTTCTCTTTACCTTTACCGCCAGCCATATTAAATTTTGATTATAAACCATTGGTCAAAAACCTGCATTATACATTGTTACTATTATTATAGTTACATTAAAAATTGATAAACATATCTTTTACAAAATACAAATTATTCTCAATGAAAAATTGCACAAACCGCAAAGGTTTCTTACCAAACCGTAATGCAAGTAAGAAAAAAATTGATACAGGGGAAAAGTTTGGTCCAAGGAGATCACCTTCTAAACGCAAGAAAACACCAAGAGCGGACAGTATAATCAGAAATATCAGCCTGGAAAACAGAAAAAAAGCCACTAAACTTATTGCCTAATCTTATCCATGAAGCTGTAATTGTTGTGTCAGACCGGACCATTTGTAGAAGGCTAAAAGAAGAGGGATTGATGTCCAGCCAAAAATGTCAAAAAATGACAAAAAAATTCAAAAATTAAAATTTTTGAATTTTTTTAAATAATGTCAAAAATCTTATATTTATGCAAGATGGTGCAATTTGCTACACAATAAAAACTGTTATGGCTTAGTTGATGCTATGGCCAAACAACTCGCATGATCTTTACGCCATAGAAAACAATTGGGAAATAGTAAGAAATAGTAAGCAAGAGATTGGAAAAAAAAATCTTACTAATAAGCAAGATCTTATGGAAGAGATTATCAAGATCTGGCACAATAACCCAGAGTTTGCAGAAACTAAAAAAAATAAATTGCAAGCATGCCCCAATGCATTGAAGCAGTTATTGCAAATAAAAGTGTTTTTGCAAAAAATTTATACTTTATATATATTTTATATAATTTTAATCATAATAATCAATAAATATTCAAAATGTTCAATTTTATTTGTTTATTTTTATCAATTTCAACGTTATAAATAAAGGAAATAACTTTAAATTGCACCATTATTTTATATATATATATATATATATATATATATATATATATATATATATATATATATATATATATATATATACATATATATATATATATATATATATATATATATATATATATATATATATATATATATATATATATATATATTTATTTATTTATTTATATATATATATGTATATGTATGTATGTATGTATATATATATATATATATATATATATATATATATATTTATTTATTTATTTATATATATATATGTATATGTATGTATGTATGTATATATATATATATATATATATATATATATATATATATATATATATATATATATATATATATATATATTCATATAAGCATATGTATACATACATATATATGTATGTTTATTTATGTACATATATATGTATATATAGAGTAAAAAAAGGTTAAGTATGCGTTACAAATCAACCTTTGTACTTTAAGGTTGTTCTTTAGCTCAAGGAAATACAAAAGTAAGTAAAAACAGTTTTAAAAAAAATTCTAATCAGACATAAAAAAAAAAGATTTATTTTATGTCTGATTAGAATTTGTCAAACTTTTAAAAATATATGCTAAACATATTTTTGACACAAGTTTAAAACAAACTAAAATAAAAAGATTCAAAAGATTTTTTATTTAAAACTACTTTTAACAAACCTTTGCATCACATTTTTTGTATTTGTCTTAATTGTGTTACCTCAAATTTTAGAAAGTTTGTTAACCTAAAGGTTTAAGAAAATAATTACACCACATTATTTTTATAGTACATACATAAAAAGTTACAAGTAGATTAACTTAGGCTAAGTTATAATTAA